TGTGACCAATTAAGACAAAACAAGTCGAACATAGATACATGGATCGATAGCAGTTAGTACTCCGGTGACGACGAACGCCGAAGCCTGCCCGAGCAAGGAGGAGGGGCAGCCTCGGCTGAATCCGTGACAATAGATTAGGGCCTAATGAATTTATTTAAATTGACTGACTTCCTTATATGAACTGTTACTCAGTTAAATCTTTGAAATTGTTGCATGTTGTGTTTATATTTTTGTTCAGTATATTGACCAAGAAAGTTTTCATCTATATGTTTCGTAGCTGTCTATTTATCACCATAAACCAATGCTGGCACTAAGGCTGCACTCAACATGCTGTATAAGGCCATAAGAAAACAAGAAAATGCTCATCCAGGGGCGGCGCTCCTACTGGCTGGTGATTTTAATGCAGGAAAACTGAAATTCATTTGACCTAATTTCTACCAGCATGTCATCTGTGCAACTAGAGGAAAAAAACCTCTAAATCACCTTTACTCCACACACAGAGACGCATACAAAGCTCTCCCTTGCCCTCCATTTGGCAAATATGATCATAACTCTATCCTCCTGATTCCTGCTTACAAGCAAAAACTTACACAGGAAGAACCAGTGACACTCTCAATACGAAAGTGGTCCGATGAAGCAGATGAGAATATGTTCCGGGATTCATCCGATGGCATTGAGGAGTTCACCACATCAGTCACCGGCTTCATTAGTAAGTGGATCGACATCATCCCCACAGTGACCGCACGTACATATCCCAACCAGAAGCGATGGATTACAGGGAACATCCACACTGAGCTAAAGGCTAGAGCTGCCGCTTTCAAGGAGCGAGACACTAATCCAGACGCTTGTAAGAAATCCCGCTACGCCCTGCGACGAACCATCAAACAGGCAAAGCGTCAATACAGGACTAAGGTCGATTCCTACTACACCGGTTCTGAGGATCGTCGGATGTAGCAGGGCTTACAAACTATTATGGATTACAAAGGGAAACCCAGCCAGGAGCTGCCCAGTGATGCGAGCCTACCAGCCAAGCTAAATGCCTTCTCTACTCGCTTCGAAGCAAGCAACACTGAACCATGCGTTAGAGCACCAGCTGCTCCGGACGGCTGTGTGATCACGCTCTCCACAGCCGACGTGAGTAAGACCTTTTAAACAGGTTAACATTCACAAGGCTGCAGGGCCATCCAGGACCTCTATACCAGGCGGTGTCAGAGGAAGGCCCTAAAAATTGTCCAAGACTCCAGCCACTCAAGTCATAGTCTGTTCTCTCTGCTATCACACGGCAAGCGGTACCGGAGTCTGGGACCAAAAGGCTCCTGAACAGCTTCTACCCTAAAGCCATAAGACTGCTGAACAGTTATTCAAATGGCTACCTGGACTATTTTCATTGACCCCCTTTATAATTTGTATTTGTATTACTTTTTTGCACTGACTCTCTTGCACTGGCTCCATACTCACACATACTACACTGACACTCCAACACACACACACACACACACACGCACGCATGCATACACACACACACACATAGACACACACACTCATACGCTCACACATAGACACACTTTCACACTCTTTCACACTCTTCACACATGCTGCTGTTACTCTGTTTATTATCTATACCTAGTCACTTTTACACCTACCTACATGTACATACTGTATTACCTCAATTACCTAAACTACCTCATACCCCTGCACATTGACTCGGTACTGGTACTCCTTGTATATAGCCCATTTTTATTGTACCTTTTTTTTGCAAATATGTTTCTTACTTTTTAGCTCTATTATTGGGAATGTGCTCGTAAGTAAGCATTTCACAGTAAAGTCTACATATTCGGCACATGTGAACACATTTTTTTGATTTGATTTGATTTGCAGTGAGATCATTCAAGACGATTCTGAGATGATAGTTACAAGGCGGTAATTATTTGAATTATGTAGGAGAATAAGACGTTACCATTGGTGTTTTTAAAATGAGCGGCTTTATGTGATGTCACACAAAGCCTCAATAATCCCGCCTCCTGAATTCAAGCCTCTACGGGAATAGATCTATTTGGCCAAATAGAATGCCATTCTAGTTCTGGTTAGACAGCTGAAGTTGTACTCTACACACACCTAACATATTATTAGTCTTTATAAACACATCAATATGATATTTACAGCATAAAATCTTTTTTCATTGTAACATGAACACACATCAATTTTTCTGTTGATAAATGTATCTACACTCAAGGTAGACAATTTTTGTGAAATGTCCACATGTAGCCTACACCTCATGTAGGGATAATAGTAGTTCTGGGATTTGTCCCTGGGGAAAGATCTAACAGCGGACATAACGAGAGACACAACTAGCCAGTTAAATAATATTGTGTTGTAGGACAGCTGAACTGACTCAATACCAGTCATTCAACTCGCAGTTGATACCATTTCCACAGTAAGATGTACAGTGCATTCGGAAAGTATTCAGAACCCTTGACTTTTTCGACATTTTGTTACATTACAGCCTTATTCTAAAATGGATTAAATAAAAAATTGTCCTCATCAATCTACACAAAATACCCCATAATGAAAAAGCAAAAACAGGTTTTAAGAAATACCTTATTTATAAAAGTATTCAGACCCTTTGCTATGAGACTCGATATTGAGCTCAGGTGCACCCTGTTTCCATTGACCATCCTTGAGATGTTTCTACAACTTGATTGGAGTCCACCTGTGGTAAATTCAATTGATTGGACATGATTATATAGACACACCTGTCTATACACTACCGGTCAAAAGTTTTAGAACACCTACTCATTCAAGGGTTTTTCTTTATCTTTTACTATTTTCTACATTGTAGAATAATTGTGAAGACATCAAAACAATGAAATAACACATATGGAATCATGTAGTAACCAAAAAAGTGTTAAACAAATATTTTATATTTGAGATTCTTCAAATAGCCACCCTTTGCCTCCACCGGATTATTACATGACCCATCAAATTAGCAAGTCTGTCTGGGGGTGATTACGGCCATCGATTGTATTTCATGAACGTGTACATGTCTAGACAATAGTGTCCCATCCACTTAGCTAGATGTGGGTGAGGGGTGGTTATAGCATTTCCATCAATTTAGACAAGTGTGTCGGGTAAGCATCATCTAATAATGATAAAATATTTATAAAATATTTTTATCTGGACATTTCTGTTTTTGATATTGCTACTAATGCAAGTACTATCACTGTACTGTTTACACCTTCTGTATCCTGTGCATGTGACAAATAAACTTAGATTTTATTTGATATATCGTGTGTTTACCACATGGCCTCACATGTGAGTCCTTAAAGAGATGTGTGGGCAAAGGCTTAAGAGGGTGTGAACGGTGCTGAATGGGTGTAGACAAAAAAAGAGCTCTCCAGGAGGTGTACCAAAACATTCAAGGGCCATTTTCTCAAAAGTGGGGTTACAAGTTTATGAACTTTCAAAGCAGAATTCCTTTCCCATTGACCCACAACTGCAGTGTATGATATACAATTTTCTTGCTCTGAGTCTTTACTTTATCCAAAGTAAAAAACAGAATTTCAAATTTTGCTACATAAGACCGAATCGAGGCGGTCGGTCACAATTAGCTGAGTCAGTCAGGAGGGGAGAAGTCCTTAACTTCAAAACTTCATTCTCTCCATAGCAAAGCTAGCTTAGCTTACCTTGCTGTACTCTCTACTACCCTTGGTTGTTGTGATTGAATGGCAATGACACACCCAAGAAACACCCACATCAAACCACACCTCCAAGACCACTCTTGTTTGCCTTCAGTAATTTTCCAATGAGCATTGATGAAAAACACGGCCAAATAATGAAGTGCAGTCGCCCTTTAATGGTAAATTTTTTATTAAATAACCTTTTTTTCAAGATGTTATAAATAGTTTGAAAACCCTGTTTGTAATCGTTCAAATAATATCAAACTCAACATGTATATTTTTCAGTGATGAAGACATAGTAGGGTGAGGTATGCAAAAATGAGCACCTTTATCTCCTGAATGTTTTGGTATTCAGGTCCATGAAGTAACTTTCTGACTACTTCTACCATGGGTTTGTCCAATCAAAAGGGGTGCCGTCAATAAGTAATTGAATTCACATAGAACAACCAAGGTGAGTGTTGGATTCAAACAGTGTTTATCAAAGCACCCCACACATATTTTCATTTTATTTTTCCTATCTTTGATGTACTTGAAGGTAAACTATTCAACAAGGTCAATGGTTGTGTTTGAGGAAAGCCTTGATAGAAGTCAGACCATAGTCTGTATTTACCTTTTCACTGAGTCTCAGCATTTTTCAAATAAAAAATCATTTCTTTGTGGCTATTCTTTTATCGTGGCATATGTGTACAGTGTCTGACGAAAACATCCTTGTCACTCAAATTTCTCTTTCAATTACTTACATTTCCACCTTTCAAAAGAACCCTGCCAATCCAATTATGACTTCTCATTCCTAACAACCTTCAGAAGAGGTGGTCATGATGAAAGCTGTTAGCGTATAAACCTGCCATCTCAGTCATGTCTTTGTTTATTTCAAACAGGTAGGATGTTCCTCTAAAAGTGATTTGTCGGACCCTCTTCTTTCACCACTCAGCTTTTGAAGTTTCAAAAGAAAACAAACGCTCACACAGAGTTTTTCCATACATTCTCATGTTTGTCAGATGACTTGCTTCATAAATCGAGAGATGGGATGTGTTTAATTCTCTCTCAAAGTTGGTGTAGGCCTAATCTTCACAGGCTTTACTGTGAGCATGAAAATAAATACAGCCCTGTCGCTATTATTTGCAAATAACAGGGAAATATAAATTAAATTAATTGTAATTAAAGGGCTCATTTCAATGAACTTTTTGGTTTCGATATCAAGTTTCAGGTTCACTAAAGCATATAGTGGGGGAGGCTGGACTACAGCAGGGTATGCCAACTATTTGCTATTAAAAACAAGCAATTTGCTGCCCTGCTCACATGGTAGCTAGACTCAATTGGCAAATGGGATCTCTAGAGGGATGTAAACAAAATGCAGCTCTGGGTAAACCTTGCCCATAGGTAATGATCTAGGATCAGCTTACCGTCACCGAATCCTAACTTTCATCAATAGTGGGAAAAAAACCAAACTGACCATAGATCAGCTTGTAAGGGCAATTTCATTCATGGATGCATCCGAAATGGCACCCTATTATCTTTGTAGGTAGATTTTCAATTGGGCAAAAGTCCCATGTGACCCGGAAACCGATAAGTGGTCACTATATGTTGCTATATGTAGGAGAGTGTCAATTTGTTAATAGGTGAGCGGAGGAGATTCCTCCTCTCCTCGATTGCCTCTGAAGTGCATCCTCTGTGTATCCTCCACGGAAGAGTTTCGAAATCTGCCACACCCCCTTTGAATCCGCTGTTGTTTACTCAGAGGAGAAAAGCATGCACACATTTAAAAATGATACGTTACTTATCCTTTTATCTATAGAATGTCTAGCACAACAAGCTACATTTATTTTTATCACTTTACACATACATTTTTCTGATTCCATCTCTGTACACGTATAGTAATTTGCGTGATGACGTGCGAGTGGAGAAATCTCATTTGGAGAGTGTCATTTCACACAAGTGCATTTGTTTCCACATTTCCTCCCCTCCTCGATTATCTTTGACCTTTTTCAAAAGTAGGCAAGGAGAGGACGGAAGAGAGGACATGAGGAGTCGAGCAAAACTAATTGAGAATCTCCCATAGTGTGCTATCTTTGACCAGGGGCCATAGCGCACTAGAAATGGAATAGGGTGCCATTTGGGATGCAAATAAATTGCTGTATAATGGCTCTGACTGCTTATCCTGCCCCCTGTTGTCCAGGTGCGGACCTGCAGGTGTGCCAGCCCATAGGCCTGACGTGCTGTTCCAGGAGGATGGAGGAACGCTACCAAGTGGCTGCCAGGCAGAATATGGAGTCAGGTCTGCAGACAGCCAGCGCACCGCTGAAACTCCTCATCATCCATAACGCAGCTCTCTTCCAAGGTGAGCATGTTTCTAATGTGTGTCTGTCCATCTCAGCTGAACTTGGGTGGAGTAGTGACTACATTGAAGAGGATCAGAAATTCAAGGTTCAATTAATGTCATTTCTCAACAATTATCATTTTGCTTTACCATTGTTACCAAATGTTTGCTGCTGCTTAATGAAAATGTACTGCATGTATTTAATGTACTGTAGATTGATATGTTTAGCATTTAAAATCGATTTTTCTGTTACTGAGAGATAATTTTACTGAGCATGCAGTCTGTTCTGTATGACAAGTGTTTACTGTGTTGTGGAAATTACCACTAAGGACAAAGTCAAAGTGAAATGAACAGATCTTTATTATCACGGCCGGAGAGGTTACAACAAACTTAATACTCAAAGTACAAGTCTGTCAGAAGCTCTGAAGGGGTGCTCCCCTTCAGCACTCTTTATACTCATGCACAAACTAGTTGTCTCTGCTCTCAGGGTGCAATAAGCTGATAATGACCTTGCACACATAGTTTCTAGGCGTTGGGCCAACGTGACAATGTGTTACCTTCTTTCTGTTCTTCTTCTATCAGTCCTTTCCTTGAGAGCAAAGTCACAGAACATCCTAACACAACTATCAGGAAACAACACGCTACATGTAGTCACGCATGTGCAGAGACACAGAGGACACAAAAACATCCACTACACTCCCTCCTTCTATCACCATATTTGATAACAAAAATGTATTTTACTTCTTAACATGCATTCAGTCTATCATCAGGAGTGCATTTAGTAAATACTGATTGTTTCATACAATACGTATAACAATAGACAAAAATCTGTCTTCATATTTGATCCTCTTTCCATGACCCTTTACATTATAAGGTTGCTGTCATTTAACAACCTAACTTAAAACCTTCAGGTACTGAATCAAACATGGATACTAACTCATTCTTGCATATTATCAACCATTATAGGGGGAAAGGTGAGTTCCTGGAGAGACAGCAAGTTATCAGTATCACCTTCTTTAGTAGCATTGAACATGATAGTTGCTGAGACTCGAGTTGCCAGGGAAGTACAAATGGCCTTACAACAAGAAAGCAAAATGATCAAACACATTAAACAGAAGATTCAAGCTATCACCCACTGAGCTATCTGGTAGCCCCAAGCTCCAAAGAGGCCTTTCAGCCAACCAGTCTCTGATTCCCCGAAATGAAATTTTGCAACAGTGGCAAAGTAGTTAGCAAGAGCAGTCACATTTGATGACACATCTGGGACAAAAGTGCAGCATTCATCGCCAATGAGTGCACAAGTAGTGACAGTATTGGGACAGCGAAATTCTTAAGTTCACACCCAAGGGAACCCCTACATATGGGAGACCCTTACCTGCTCCCACAGGACCCAACCCACATACCCAACAAGAAGTCTTATATGAGGTGACATTTGCCACCATTTCAGCTCGAGAGAGGAACAGATTCTCTCCCTCATCTTGACCTTTTACTTCTCTTTTCCTTCGGCTGACTTCCCTTCTGGACCACTACTCCTGGTCTGCGGTGGTCTCTTTGGCTCGGGACTTTCATCTTCACCTGAACAGTCACCCACTGGAGGGCAACCAACTGTTCCAATCAACATAATGGTGCAGATCCAGACAGGCAGGCCACACAGCCTAAGGGATGGGACTCCCACCATCCTCCTCAGGGGCAGGAACTCGTCTGCAGTGCGAGACATGAATCCAGGTGTCCCTCTTAGCTACCTTTACCGCAGTCGGGGTGGTCAGCAAAACCTGATATGGTCCTCTCCAATGAGGATCCTTCCAGCTCTTCCTTCTGTAGTCTTTTACCACCACGAAGTCTCCAGGGTGCAGACAATGCTCAGTTCCTCCTGATAGGTTGGGCAGAGAAGCCTTCACCCGTGGGAAGAGAGTCTTAAGAGCATTGTTAAGCTAGACAAAGTATGCTACCATGTCTTCTTCCATTCCCTGCAACATCAACCTGTTTTGAGGAAATGGTGTGTTAGTCATTGTCAAGGGTCGCCCTGTCAGCATCTCATGGGGAGAGAGACCAGTCACTGAGTGGAATCGGCCTCTCATGCTCATCATTGCCAATGGAAGCACCTTCACCTATGTCAGGCTTGTTTCATCAATCAGTTTAATCCATTTATTTTTTAGGGTTTGGTTTGCCTGTTCTACCACACCCCCAGATTGAGGATGATAGGCACAATGGGTTCTCAAATCAATATGTAATGACTCTAATAGGGACTGAACAATCTTATTCACAAAATGTCGACCATTGTCGGAGGAGACTTTTGACGGCAGACCCCACCTTTGATTGATCTCTCTCAGAAGAGCCTTTGCCACAGCTGCTGCTGTAGCTGTCAATAATCACCAAACAATATGTGTTCCCCTCACAAGGGGTCAACTCAATGAAGTCCATCATCAAGTGCTCAAAGGGGCCCTCTGGCCTGGGATGGGATACGGGGAAACTGAAATGCCGCGTCCAACATTATTAGTCATACAGATCCACCATTCCTCCTTTTGGCACATGGTCTTTACCAAGGTATTGGAAAGTACAACGGGGCATGGCAGGTCTATTAGAATCATCAAGCCATTTACACAAGCTGTCCTTGTGACAGTGTTCAGCCCACCGCCTTTTCTCAGTCGCATCAGCTACTGCCTGCAAAACAACAACATCATTAGGAGAGAAGGGGTTAGTGGGAACAGGAACATGCCTCGGATAACAGTGTCTAAACGCTTAGAGTAGTACTCCACATGCCTATAGCCAACTCTGTGGTACTGTGTCAACACAGCAGACATAAACCCATGATTCTCAGAGACAAAAAGATGGAATGGTTTGGTCTGGTCAGGCAAACCCAAACAGGGGGTCGAAATTAGAGCCTGCTTTAACTTAATCAAGGCTAATTCAGCCTCAGGTGTCTCTTCCACCACTTCAGACATTTCCATCTTTCTGCCATAAATACAATCCTGCAGAGGCTGTACTGTCTCAGCATAGTCTTTCAACCATGGGAGACCACAGTGTGGGACAGCACCTGTTACTTCATACAGTGCTCTCTGTACATAAGACAGCAAAACTCCGGCCGCTGTAAATTCCTCACCATAGTATATTCCATCAATTGTCACTTCCACTCTGCTTTTCTGCTTGTCCATCTTTGTTGATATTCAGGGACTTCTTCACACAAGGGGACAGCTGCTGTGCAGTGAAGATGTTCCGGGACCTCCCATGCACAGTGGTGTGGGGAGGTAAGTGCTCTCTCGTAGTTCACCTTCCACCTCAGGATCGTTCAAATGCCAGGCATAATAACACTGGGACATGCACAGGGATATCCCGTTTGTATGGGAACGGAGGGACAAGCCCTCAGCAGTGCATGCAACAGTCAGATTCATCTTGCACATCAGATCTCTTCCCAGCAGGTTTACAGGGCAGGCGGAGGAGTACAGAAATCGATGTTTCCAACTTCCATCTTCCCATTTAACATGTAGGGGGTAAGTGAGGCATTCTTCAGAGGGAATTCCTGATGCTCCAACAGTTTGGATTCTTTTTTTTAGAGGGGATTACTTTCAGGGCAGATTGTTTCAACACCAAGATAGCAGCCCGGTGTCCACTAGGAATGGAATCTTCTGGCCAAGTATTTACATTTCTATCAGGGGATTTTCAGTCGAAAAGGTGGTAAGTTTCAGTATCTGGCATGCTTCTTGTGGTTCTTCATCATCGGAGTCTTCTTCTGTTTCCACCTCATCCTATGTTCTTTGCCCACCAAAGGGATTTCCAACCCTTACATCTTCAGGTGGTCCTGACCATTCACCCTGGTCATCTCCATCACCAGGACAGTCCCTTGCAAAATGTCCTGGCTTGTCGCAGGCCAGTAAATACAGCATGGCACAGCAGGCTGCCATATGATTCTTGGTCAGGGTTCAGACCAGAGTGCTGGAGGAAGATCTTCTCCATTCGTTCCTGATAGTCCTCAAAGCTCTCATCAGCTTTCATCAAGGTGGAATGCATTTTCTGCCAGTCTGTGTGCTTTGGGTATGTTGTCTTTACATTATCAAACACAGCAGTGAGTTGGTCAGCACGGTTGGCTCTGGTTGCATCACTGTTCCAGCCTCCCTTACACTGGTGTCACTTGAACTTCAAACACCAACAGAGTATTTCCTCAATTTCACAGGTGGTGGAGTTACAAATGGCAATGATTGCTCTCACCTCTTCTTCAAACTTCACAGCATCTTTTGCAAGGTCAGTCACTTCCTTTACAATGGCTTTCACCTCATCCACATCCCAGAGTGGATCCACAGTCATAGCAGCTCCCCCCTGAGGGTTTGGATATGATATCAGGGGGAAAAACGTATTGAGTGGGGGCTGCTCGTCTCCTTTGCGGTCTTTATCATCATCATCAGAGCTGGATTCTGGAGGGTTGTCGCCGTTGTCCCTTTGTCTTTGTCTAAGGTCGTAGTCAGTATTTGGTTTTGGCCTTATCTTGGGTTTTTCATATTTTTTGGGTTTCACCTCTTCTACTTCAGCTCCCGCCCCCTGCCCATAATAGGCTGGGGGTGGCTACGGTGCGGGCAGGCTCTATGGTTGTGGAACTGGCCTATTCCCGGGGTTCACTGGTCTGGCAGCCATGTGCTGGATTTGGCCTGGCTGTTGGTCACCCGCACCAAGAGGTCCTCCCAGAAGTAGCAGAGTGGTGGTGGTGGCGGTGCTGTTGCCAAAATTGGATACAGTTGGTCAAACTCTTCTCTCAGCCTTCTACTTCTCTCATCTTCCTTTTGTTTGCGTTCATCTTTCTCTTGCACTTGTTTTACCATCAGTCCTTTTACTGTTTTCTCCTTCAGAGAATCCGCTTCTCTCTCCCACTTTCTAAAATCATCCCACTTCACTTTAATCTTCTTATTACTTTTCCAGCTGCTTTCTTATAAACCATCATCAGTCCATGCTGTCCAATCTTCTGTCTGGCACAGTACCCTGTTACAAAACTTTTTTACCATCACTTTACTGGGTCCCTTTGGTGCCCAATCTGGGTCTTCATATCTACTTTTACTGTTTCCTTTTCCCATAATTACTTTTTAATGATATCTTGTCAATCTACTTGCTCTAACAATTATCACACTTAAACCACAATCATTCTGGGAACTAATTTCCTTTTTTCAGTAAATTAATCAATCATACAAAAATCGTTCCACTCAATCACTTAATATTCTTAAATTCTTTAAGATGGAGTTCCCAGAACTTCTATGGAGTTCCCAGAACTTCCATGTAGTTCCCAGAACTACGTAAGTGTCGTGACGTGACTTACTTTAATGTATGACTGTTATTTATCGAATCAACGAACTATGTTTAATTGTCACTCGATTAAATTAATCATGTAACAATTAACTCATTAGGAATTTAGGGCACCACGGAAGAAGTTGTTTAACGAGTTACCATCTCCCGAATTAAACTCTTAGATATACACTACCATTCAAAAGTTTTTAGTCACTTAGAAATGTCCTTGTTTTCGAAAGAAAAGCAATTTCTGTCCATTACAATAACATCAAATTGATCAGAAATACAGTGTAGACATTGTTAATGTTGTAAATGGCTATTGTAGCTGGAAAAGGCTGATTTTTAATGGGATATCTACATAGGCGTACAGAGGCCCATTATCAGCAACCATCAGTCCTGTTTTCCAATGGCACATTGTGTTTGCTAATCCAAGGCTAATTGATCATTAGAAAACCCTTTTGCAATTATGTTAGCACAGCTGAAAACTGTTGTGCTGATTAAAGAAGCAATAAAACTGGCCTTCTTGAGACTAGTTGAGTATCTGGAGCATCAGCAATTGTGGGTTCGATTACAGGATCAAAATAGCCAGAAACAAATAACTTTCTTCTGAAACTCGTCAGTCTATTCTTGTTCTGAGAAATGAAGGCTATTCCATGCGAGAAATTGCCAAGAAACTGAAGATCTCGTACAACACTGTGTACTACTCCCTTCACAGAACAGCACAAACTGTCTCTAACCAGAAGAGAAAGAGGAGTGGGAGGCCCCGGTGCACAACTGAGCAAGAGGACAAATACATTAGAGTGTATAGTTTGAGAAACAGACGCCTCACAGGTCCTCAACTGGCAGCTTCATTAAATAGTACCCGCAAAACACCAGTGTCAACGTCAACAGTGAAGAGGCGACTCCGGTATGCTGACCTTCTAGGCAGAGTTGCAACACCTATGCAGATATTCCATTAATTTAGTTTATCAGCTACAATAGCCATTTACAACATTAACAATGTCTACACTGTATTTCTGATTAATTCGATGTTATTTTAATGGACAAAAAAATGCTTTTCTTTCAAAAACAAGAACATTTCTAAGTGACCCTAAACTTTTGAACGGTAGTGTATGTATGTATGTTATATATCGATAACAGTCACTTTATTTTTATTTTTATTTTTTTGTTTTCTGTATTTTTAATTAATTTATTATTATTATTTTATTTTTATTTTTATTTTTTTTACACACACAGCCTCAATCATCTCATCTAGAATGCTGAAATCACATTGTTATCTTCACAAAAGCATTATTATACTCAATAATTCGTTGTATACAACAATTAGATGCAAACCTCATAACTGGGAAGTGTTCACCCCCAGAGATACAGGTATGTTGTTCCACAGTCTTTAATGACATCACAACATAGTAACGAATTTGATATGATTGTTCTTTAAGTCCCCACCGACCATTTCCCATATTTTTTGAAGTAGGAATATTGTTTCATTATCCACTTTTGGATGTTGGAGTCTTAGCGGGAAGACTTCCTTTGTTCCACAGGGAAACTCCCTCTCCCAATACTGCATGGCATGGAAAATAACTTTTCTGTAAGGAATTTACGACCGGTCATAAAACTGGCCCCCAGGAAAGGGGGTGTTCAAACCTTTGCCTAGCCGGCATCTTTGATCCTCAATCCATGACGGCAAGTCATGACATAAGTATTCCCCGAATACCTACAGACAACGTTGCCAACGGGGTCTCTCTACCCCCGCCTAGTCCTCTCTTGAGACTCTGGATCCTTTTCTAAGCTTCTCAAAACAGTTCTTATTGTTCAAAATTCATTTAAATTGACTTACTGAAATTCAGTTGTCAGTCCTTCTAGGTTTCGTAGATGATGTGTTTTCTCCTGGGTAACCCACAGTGAGTGTCTGGTCTGGGCGGGTCCTCATTGTCTTTGGTCAGACGGGAATTTCCCTTGCACGCCTTCACATGGAATGCGCCACAGGTGTTCCCTAACAGACCCTCACTGCTGAGCTCCACAGGTAGAGCAATCATCCTGTTTTGTGACGCCAAATTGTCATGGAAATTACCATTAAGGACAAAGTCAAAGTGAAATGAACAGATCTTTATTATCACGGCCGGAGAGGTTACAACAAACTTAATACTCAAAGTACAAGTCTGTCAGAAGCTCTGAAGGGGTGCTCCCCTTCAGCACTCTTTATACTCATGCACAAACTAGTTGTCTCTGCTCTCAGGGTGCAATAAGGTGATAATGACCTTGCACACATAGTTTCTAGGCGTTGGGCCAACGTAACAATGTGTTACCTTCTTTCTGTTCTTCTTCTATCAGTCCTTTCCTTGAGAGCAAAGTCACAGAACATCCTAACACAACTATCAGGAAGCAACACACTACATGCAGTCACGCATTTGCAGAGACACAGAGGACACAAACAAAATCCACTACAACCGCCAGAGAGTGGACTACAGGACCATACATTACAACGGGGACACTCTTGGGTAGTGACTAGCAAGACGTCTTGACATGCCAATTAAATGTTTTCAGCTATACATTTTAGGACACCGATGTCCAGACCACTGTAAATGTTTTCTAATTTGAAACATAATAACAAAAAATATATATATTTTGTACACAATAAAGAAAATCAATTACCGGTCAACATCTAAATATTGCTCCAAGCGTTGATCAAAGCTTAGAATGCTTATATTCTTGATCGCGCCTGCCTTATTGCGAACGAGTGGAATCATGAACAGTGGTTTGTTTCTAAATGCTTCTACATGTGGATGCTACCATGATAACGGAAACACAGTTTGACATTCAATTAGTTTGAGGTCACTTTCACACTATTATTCTTTTTTGGGGAGAGAGTGGAATTCCATCCTTCTTCCAATTTTTTATTCAGACAGTAGAGAACAAGATGGAGAGACGGTAGGATGAGAGATGGCTAACTGGAAAGGCGGTAGTGGGGATCAGAACCCACAACCTTTGGGGCTCTGACACATGCGTTGTGTTGGGAGTATTACCACTCAACCACACAACTTTCACACCATTCCCTTTTATTGCTATTACTCGGTCGCGTTGTTGCCATTGTTATCAATGTTCTACAGATGCCGCAACATATTGGTGTCCGGCAGATGGTAATGCTCAGTCTTTCTGATTGGGGGCTAATGACTGTTTCGTCAAAATTACACTATAGTGGCCTGGAAATACGATGACATTGCTAAAGTAGACAAATAATTAGCAGAAAAAACTTTGCCATCATTATGATGTCGTCAAGTTTACATTAGAGAGATGAAAATGTTGCCATGAGCTAGCAAAGTTTGTCATAAATAGCTAGCAATGCAAAAGTTAGCTAGCTAAAATGTTGGTGCTCTCCCCTTAAATCTTAACTAGCAAAGCTGTCATCAAGGCAAAGGGTGGCTATTTGAAGAATCTCAAATATAAAATATATTTTGATTTGTTTAACACTTTTTTGGTTACTACATGATTCCATATGTGTTATTTTATAGTTTTGATGTCTTCACTATTATTCTACAATGTAGAAAATTGTAAAAAATAAAGACAAACCATTGAATGAGTAGGTGTGTCCAAACTTTTGACTGGTACTGTATATGATGCTCTTCTGGGTTGAGGATCAAGTTTTACTTGGAAGAATTACTTTTAGTAAAATATTTACATAATATAAACTATGACAGTCAGCAGAGTGCAAATTATATCATGACATATGGGGGGGCTGCTTTTTTTTCACTGTACTTCCTATTTTATATGGGCCTAGTACAGTGAGGGGAAAAAAGTATTTGATCCCCTGCTGATTTTGTACGTTTGCCCACTGACAAATAAATGATCAGTCTATAATTTTAAAGGTAGGTTTATTTGAACAGTGAGAGACAGAATAACACAAAAAAAATCCTGAAAAACGCATGTCAAAAATGTTATAAATTGATTTGCATTTTAATGAGGGAAATAAGTATTTGACCCCTCTGCAAAACATGACTTAGGACTTGGTGGCAAAACCCTTGTTGGCAATCACAGAGGTCAGACATTTCTTGTAGTTGGCCACCAGGTTTGCACACATCTCAGGAGGGATTTTGTCCCACTCCTCTTTGCAGATCTTCTCCAAGTCATTAAGGTTTCGAGGCTGACGTTTGGCAACTCAAACCTTCAGCTCCCTCCACAGATTTTCTATGGGATGAAGGTCTGGAGACTGGCTAGTCCACTCCAGGACCTTAATGTGCTTCTTCTTGAGCCACTCCTTTGTTGCCTTGGCCGTGTGTTTTGGGTCATTGTCATGCTGGAATACCCATCCACAACCCATTTTCAATGCCCTGGATGAGGGAAGGAGGTTCTCACCCAAGATTTGACGGTACATGGCCCCGTCCATCGTCCCTTTGATGCGGTGAAGTTGTCCTGTCCCCTTTGCAGAAAAACACCCCCAAAGCATAATGTTTCCACCTCCATGTTTGACGGTGGGAATGGTGTTCTTGGGGTCATAGGCAGCATTCCTCCTCCTCCAAACACGGCGAGTTGAGTTGATGCCAAAGAGCTCAATTTTGGTCTCATCTGACCACAACACTTTCACCCAGTTCTCCTCTGAATCATTCAGATGTTCATTGGCAAATTTCAGACGGGCATGTATGTGTGCTTTCTTGAGCAGGGGGACTTGGCGGGCGCAGCAGGATTTCAGTCCTTCACGGCGTAGTCTGTTACCAATTGTTTTCTTGGAGACTATGGTCCCAGCTGCCTTGAGATCATTGACAAGATCCTCCCGTGTAGTTATGGGGCTGATTCCTCACCGTTCTCATGATCATTGCAACTCCACGAGGTGAGATCTTGCATGGAGCCCCAGGCCGAGGGAGATTGACAGTTATTTTGTGTTTCTTCCATTTGCGAATAATCGCACCAACTGTTGTCACCTTCTCACCAAGCTACTTGGCGATGGTCTTGTAGCCCATTCCAGCCTTGTGTAGGTCTATAATCTTGTCCCTGACATCCTTGGAGAGCTCTTTTGTCTTGGACATGGTGGAGAGTTTGGAATCTGATTGATTGATTGCTTCTGTGGACAGGTGTCTTTTATACAGGTAACAAGCTGAGATTAAGAGCACTCCCTTTAAGAGTGTGCTCCTAATCTCAGCTCATTACCTGTATAAAAGACACCTGGGAGCCAGAAATCTTTCTGATTGAGAGGGGGTCAAATTTTTATTTCCCTCATTAAAATGCAAATCAATTTATAACATTTTCTACATGCGTTTTTCTGGATATTGTTGTTATTCTGTCTCTCACTGTTCAAATAAACCTACCATTAAAATTATAGACTGATCATTTCTTTGTCAGTGGGCAAACGTACAAAATCAGCAGGGGATCAAAAACTTTTTTCCCTCACTGTAGTACATATGTAGCTTAACGGTAATAATGTATTATCTTTTAATGTGGCATGAACACAACAAGTCATGATGTTTCCATCTGATTGTCGAACAAATCACTTAAAAAAAGTAGGCTACCTATGCATGTTCATCCACTCCAAATTAATTCCAGCATCCAAACAGTGCACTGTGCACCCACCATTTGATGAATGGAGAGAGACATCTGCTACAAAACACCAAAAAGTGTATTGACATTCAACGATTGTCATTAGGCCTACACTCTTGAGCCTGAATTAATTGATGTGTCTTGCTGACAAATTGACCTTTTTTGTAATAAGAAAAGTTGGGACTCCTGAAAAGGTGCTGAAATACAGCTGTGTCTGTCCCAAGCTCATTGGTGCGGGAAACTGTGAGGGCCCAGTTGAAACAATGTTGCAAGACAGGTGGAATAAAGAAATGAATGTGACAAACATTGCATTGTGATTGAAAGAGTCTGAACAAACTGTCACTGGTTTAAACCATGGCAGAGAGGTGGGGGTGTTCATTTAATTTCGAATAAGCTTTTATTTTCATATTTTACCACTGTAGCAGTACAAAATTGCATTTTAAACAAATAGGAGAATGGATCAATTAGAGCCCCCCAAAGTTGGACTTTTGTGGCATTTAGGAGAGCTCATCACTCATTCGAGTGAGATGGCAGCATGTACTTTGACTTGATGGACCAGTGGAGTTCATATTGATTCATCATTAGCGCCATCCTCTCACTCTCAATGATTGCCTCTCACTGAAAGGCCTGATGTTATCCAAGTTGTTTGAAAATGAAAATCCTTCAACATTAGTAGGACAGTTGACGCTCATCTTCAAATCTAATCTTTTGAAAATGAAAAGCTGATGCTGGCATGCTGAGAATGTAATTTCCTAAATTATGAAATATGATACTGCTGATGAACTTGTTATTATCATCAGCTTCTGCAAGCCATCGCCAAACTAGCCTGAGGTTAATTTGATATCTTAGTTTCTTAATACCGGTGAAGTGACTTGGGTGATTATTATTATAGTAGCCTACCTTTATGGAGTGAAAAGTGATTCGGAGAGAGGGAGAGTTGTTATGTCGGTCAGCAGCACTAAAAAGCTAATCAGTGCCGGTGTTTGGTTTCGCTATGTCCATCAAAGTGACTGACAGCTCCAATTCCTGTCAGGCCTGCAGTAATGTGTACTTTAGAGCAGTTCCAGTGATGGGTGGAGGGGGGGTGGAGGTGCAAGAGCCTCACTTAGAACCAACCATTATGGAGGGAATGTTGGGGAGGGGACACAACTTGCCCTTATTCAAAATGAGATGAAAGAGTTGAAAAAAATCCTTTGTTTAAAGTATTTTCTATTAAATGTGGTGTGACTGATGCATTTTCAATTATTCATTTTCACTCTCAAATGTACTCTTCTCTTGATGATATGTTGGGGATCATAAGCCTACTGTTTGTATTTGTGTGAAGAAGCGAAGAAGCTAACACAGTAGCTGAGTGGAGTTTCGACGGAGGGGGACTTGGAGCATTATTTATATCTCAGCACATGGGGAAAAGGCTAAATAACACACTCACAAATGAGCCTCTCTCCTGGCTCCAGTCTGCAGAGCTTGGAGGTCAGGGACCACAAACCACATCACTGTCTCTACAGTTTCATCACACACCATTGCTCCACTGCACTCCAGTGAGAGACTGGCACCCTGAGGGAGCCAGAGGGAGCCAGAGGACCCATCAGGGTCCACCAGGAGGAGTCACTTAAAAGTCCTAAGAGAACATCCAATTAATAAACATGAGAGGATTGGAGAGGAGTTCTGGTTTGTGGGTAGATAAACAAGAACATCGCTTGATTTGTCAGAGACTTCCAGACTTGGGTGAAATAAGTGGATAGTGGTATCAGGCTACATGCAGAATAAATGTGTGGAGAAAGGAGGGAGGGAGAGAAAGTCTGTGATGTCAACAAATGTCTCTGCCTGTAAGGAAAGTGGGACAGCCAGCACTCCTGGAACGACTGGCTGGGTCCAGGAAAATCTAGCGCAGTGGGGAGGTGCACAAACAGGTCTGACTGTGGTTGCGTCACAAATGGCACCCTATTCCCTATATAATTTAGTACTTTTGAGCAGAGCCCAATGAGCCCTGGTCGAAATTAATGCACTATATAGGGAATAGGGTGCCATTTGGGAAGTAGACTGTGGCTCCTCACAAGAAGCATGAAACAGTGTGAACTGGGCTATCTGTATGTGGCTTAAGCTTCACTCAGTGGTGCTGTGAAGTCGGGGAGCTCTCTGCTCCTCTCTCTGAAAACAACTCAACCCACAGGGGCAATGGAGCACTGTAAATTATAGGGAGTTGGGAGCTAGCTTGAAAGGACACTCAAACATCAACACATTGGACAACCTGGGGTGTTCAGCTTCACTGCTACACCACAACCTTTAAAGAATATGTCTGAAGAGACCCATATTATAACTGTGACAATGAAGAGAACTATGAGACCCAACAAGCATTGAACAAAATATAAACGCAACATGCAACAATTTCAAAGATTTTGCTGAGTTACAGTTCATTTAAGGAAATCAGTCAATTGAAATGAATTCATTAGGCCCTAATCTATGGATTTCACATGACTGGGATTACAGGTATGCATCTGTTGGTCACACATACCTTAAACAAAAAGTTAGGGGCGTGGATTAGAAAACCAGTCAGTATCTGGTGTGACCACCATTTGCCTCATGCAGCGCAACACATCTCCTTCACACAGAGTTGATCAGGCTGTTGATTGTGGCCTGTGGAATGTTGTCCCACTCCTCTTCAATGGCTGTGCGATGTTGCTGGATAATGGCGGGAACTGGAACACGTTGTCATACAGGTCGATCCAGAGCATCCCAAACATGCTAAGTGGATGACAGGTCTGGAGAGTACACAGGCCATGAAAGAACTGGGACATTTTCAGCTTCCAGGAATTTTGTACAGATTCTTGCAACATGGAGCTGTGCATTATCATGCTCAAACATGAGGTGATGGCGGTGGATGAATGGCACAACAATGTCCTTCAGGATCTCGTCACTGTATCTCTGTGCATTCAAATTGCCATTGATAAAATGTATTGACCATAGCTTATGCCTGCCCACACCATAACCCCACCGCTCGCCCACACGATGCCATACACACTATCTGCCATCTGCCATCTGCCCGGTACAATTTAAACCGGGATTCATCCATGAAAAGCACACTTCTCCAGCATGCCAGTGGCCATCGAAGGTGAGCATTTGCCCACTGAAGTCAGTTACGACGCCGAACTTCAGTCAGGGATATAGAACATTTCTGGGATCTTTTATTTCAGCTCATGAAACATGGGACCAACACTTTACATGTTGAGTTTATATATTTTTTTCAGTATTTTCTTTGAATTCTGCAAAGTGAATGTGGAAGAGGTGAACAAATTATTGTTGTCTATCAACAATGACAAGCAACCTGGGTCTGACAACTTTGTTGAAAAATTACTGAGGATGTTAGCGGGCGATATTGCCACTCCTATTTACCATCTCTTTAATCTAAGCCTACAGAAAAGTGTGTGCCCTCAGGCCTGGAGGAAATCAAAAGTCATTCCGCTACCCAAGAATAGCAAAGCACCCTTTACTGGCTCAAACAGCCAACCAATCAGCCTCTTAGCAAGCATTAGTAAATGTTTTGAAGAAATTGTGTTTGACCAGATACAATGCTATTTCACAGTAAACAAATTAACAACAGATTTTCTGCACGCTTATAGGGAAAGGTATTCAACGTGTATGGCACTTGCACAAATGACTGATGATTGGCAGAGATAAATTGATAGTAAAACGATTGTGGGAGCTGTTTTGTTAGACTTCAGTGCAGCTTTCGACATTATCGATCATAATCTACTGCTGAAAAAATGTATTTGTTATGGCTGTACATCCCCTGCTATATTGTGTATCGAGAGTTACCTGTCTAACAGAACACAGAGGGTGTTCTTTAAGCCTCTCTAACATAATCCAGGTAGAGTCAGGCATTCCCCAGGGCAGCTGTCTAGGCCCCTTACTTTTTCCAATCTTTACTAATGACTTGCCACTGGCTCTGAGTAAAGCTGCTGATGACTGTCACAGTTGAGTGTAGAAGTGGTGTGGAATCAAGCGCAGGACACACAGAGGCTTCGTACTGACGTCTTTAGTGAAGACAAAAAGAACAAGCCAAACACGGCTACATACAACCTGGCAGGCAAGCGAACTTTACGCACACCGGTAAAGTACATACAAAGGCACAAAAGTGCGGAGCTCTCTACTACACCGAACAGAGAGAAAAAACGAACTAGTATCCCACAGTGACAACGAACAATTACACACAACACTTGACAAAACTCAAGAGAACTTATAGGACGCATAATTAACACTAACAAGGAACAGGTGTAACAAAACAGACAAAACCAATCAAACATCGAAACATAGAATGGTGGCAGCTAGTACTCCGGAGACGACGACCGCCGAAGCCTGCCCGAACAAGGAGAAGGAGCAGCCTCGGCCGAAACCGTGACAATGACTCAACACTATACACGTCAGCTACCACAGCAAGTGAAATCACCGTAACACTTAACAGTGCTAGCTGTGCCACTAGAGATCCTGGTTCGAATCCAGGCTCTGCTGTAGCCGGCTGCAACCGGGAGACCAATGGGGCGGCGCACAATTGGCCCAGCGTCGTCCAGGGTAGGGGAGGGAATGGCCGGCAGGGAGGTAGCTCAGTTGGTAGAGCATGGCGTTTGCAACGCCAGGGTTGTGGGTTCGATTCCCACGGGGGGCCAGTATGAAAAAAAAAAGAATAATGTATGCACTAACTAAGTCGCTCTGGATAAGAGCGTCTGCTAAATAATGTAAAAAAAAAATGTATTTGTGATAAGTATTGACATGTTGAATGCACCGAGCTGTCTGTTTAAACTACTAGCACACAGCTCAGACACCCATACCCCACAAGACATGCCACCAGAGGTCTCTTCGCAGTCCCCAGGTCAAGAACAGATTATAGGAGGCGCACAGTACTACATAGACCCGTGACAACATGGAACTCTATTCCACATCAAGAAATTCTTGCAAGCAGTAAAATCAGGATTTAAAAAAAGATAAAAATACACTTTATGGAACAGCGGGGACTGTGAAGAGACACACACACAGGCATACACACACACACGATAACATGCACACTATATGTGGTAGTAGAGTAGTGGCCTGAGGTCACACAGTTAATGTGTTGTGAATTATTTTGTGAAATGTATGTAATGTTTTTAAAATGGTATATAACTGCTTTAATTTTGCTGGACCCCAGGAAGAGTAGCTGCTGCCTTGCCTTGGCAGCAGCTAATGGGGATCCATAATAAATACAAATACAACTGAACTCCTTAAAAACGGGTACAGCAAAACACCCCCCGGAATAATTCTTGTTTCTGTCCTTGAATTTCCCCAACCTTGTCTTTTCTAGCTGGGTCTGCAAATTAGCATCTCATTGGCACCTGAAAAAAGTGCTCTCTCTTGGAGAGGGGTTTTAATTACTCTAAGTGTATTAGGAATTAGAATGGCGTACCCCCCGTGACCTTGGGAAAGAGCGCTGCCCTCATTTGTCTCCGATTGTGCAGAATGGATCATTGGCGTGATGGCAGGGGCCCAAATGAGACGTGGCAGGAGGTTTGGAGGAGGCTGGAGGATCCCGGGTATCTCAGGGCAGAGCTTCCTCTCCCTCCAACAGTCAATAATCAACGTCACAGATTCCTTTTTTCTGGCGTCCAATCCTCGTCTCCGGCTCGTTAGTGATTCACTCGATCTTAAGTGCTTTGTGTGTCTGGCCTGAACAGGCCTCTCTCTCTCTCCCGCTCTCTCCCCCCCCCCCCCCGTTCTTCCTCTCTCCCAAGAGAGAGGGCCATCTGCGAGCCTGAGCCATCTGCAGTTGTTTACTTGCCGCCCCAACGGAGATTTAATAAGTTAATGACGGGTAGAGATAGATGCGGCTGTGCCATTCGACAGGCCTCCTCGTGCGTTGTTTACTTGACAAGTTGCGATCTACTTGTAATTAGTTTCTAATTTAATAGCTTGTGTTTTATTATTACGCCTCACTTATTTAATCAGTTGTAATGAGATTGCCAGATCCTCTCCAAGTCTCCATGCAGGCAGAATTCCTCTTGGTCTATGCAAACTGTGGGGGGAGATACAGTGCCTTGCAAATATATTCATCCCCCTTGGCGTTTTTCCTATTTTGTTGCATTACAACCTGTAATTTAAATTGATTTTTATTTGGATTTCATGTAATGGACATACACAAAATAGTCCAAATTGGTGAAGTGAAATGAAAACAATAACTTTTTCAAAAAATTCTACAAAAATAAATAACGGAAAGTGGTGCGTGCATATGTATTCATCGCCTTTGCTAGCCCCTAAATATGATCTGGTGCAACCAATTACCTTCAGAAGTCACATAATTAATTAAATAAAGTCCACCTGTGTGCAATCTAAGTGTCACATGAACTGTCACATGATCTCAGTATATATACACCTGTTCTGAAAGGGCCCAGAGTCTGCAACACCACTAAGCAAGGGGCACCACCAAGCAAGCGGCACCATGAAGACCAAGGAGCTCTCCAAACAGGTCAGGGACAAAGTTGTGGAGAAGTACAGATCAGGGTTGGGCTATAAAAAAAGATCTTAAACTTTGAACATCCCACGGAGCACCATTAAATCCATTATTTAAAAAATTGAAAGAATATGGCACCAAGAGAGGGCCGCCCACCAACTCACAGACCAGGCAAGGAGGGCATTAATCAGAGAGGCAACAAAGAGACCAAAGATAACACTGAAGGAGCTGCAAAGCTCCACAGTGGAGATTGGAGTATGTGTCCATAGGACCACTTTAAGCCATACAGTCCACAGAGCTGGGTTTTACGGAAGATTCGCCAGAAAAAAGCTGTTGCTTAAAGAAAAAAAAATAAGAAAAAACGTTTGGTGTTCGCCAAAAGGCATGTGGGAGACTCCCCAAACATATGGAAGAAGGCACTCTGGTCAGATGAGACTCAAATTCAGCTTTTTGGCCAACAAGGAACCGCTATGTCTGGCGCAAACCCAACACTTCTCATCACCCCGAGAACACCATCCCCACAGTGAAGCATGGTGGTGGCAGCATCATGCTGTGGGGATGTTTTTCATCGGCAGGGACTGGGAAACTGGTCAGAATTGAAGGAATGATGGATGGCGCTAAATACAGGGAAATTCTTGAGGGAAACCTGTTTCAGTCTTCCATAAATTTGAGACTGGGACAGAGGTTCACCTTCCAGCAGGACATTGACCCTAAGCATACTGCTAAAGCAACACTTGAGTGGTTTAAGGGGAAACATTTAAATGTATTGGAATGGCCTAGTCAAAGCCCAGACCTCAATCCAATTGAGAATCTGTGGTATGACTTAAAGATTGCTGTACACCAGCGGAACCCATCCAACTTGAAGGAGCTGGAGCAGTTTTGCCTTGAAGAATGGGCAAAAATAGTTATGTGAATAGTTATGCATGCTCAAATGTACTGTTTTTTTGTGTCTAATTTCTTGTTTGTTTCACCAAAAAAATTATGCAATATTTTGCATCTTCAAAGTGGTAGGCATGTTGTGTAAATCAAATGATACAAACCTCCCAAAAATCCATTTTAATTCCAGGTTGTAAGGCAACAAAATAGAAAAAATGCCAAGGGGGATGAATACTTTCGCAAGCCACTGTAGATACTTATTAGAGCGGTGTAATCCTAGGAGCCACTCTGTCTTTATCTGGGTTGTTCTGTGGTACCGGGGATTCAGGGAGGGAGCCTCAGAGGCCCAGTGCATTAGGAAGGGCTTAGCAAGGCAGTGGAGTAGCTACATGTCTGTAAGCCTCTGTGTACGTCAGTGGTTTGGTTTATGTACCACGGGGGATCACGTCAGCTCAAGCTGCAGGGCCATGGTGATGAGAGCAGGGGAACTCAACTCAGAGTCAGTCCTGAGAAGCCATGGATCCCACTGCCTCTATTGGTCTCTGAGAGAGCAAGCCAGAGTCAAGATCACATGAGGCAGGCAGAGGATTGCTTACTACTGGGTAATTAGGCTGCATCCAAAATGGCTCCCTATATAGTGCACTACTTTTGACTACTTTTTACCCTTTGGGCCCTGGTCAAAAGTAATGCACTATATAGGGTGCCATTTGGGACGCATCCTCAGTGTAAGCTGATTCTTGGTTCCCTTTGTCATATGTCCAAGGCCTAGGGCAAGGTATCCCAACAACAACACATTTTCTTTATTGTTGGACATAAAAGACTGTAAAAACACCAGCAAATCAGCTCCAAGTGATTTAAAATCTGTTCCGAAGTATTCCCACGCATAATAGAGAGATATATGTGATCGTATACAAATTTAAGCAAGGTTTGAAGTTATTATGTTTTAGTCAAATATTATATCTGTTTCGGCTTCTTGCGGTCAATTTGTAGTCTACAAATTATTTGTAATTATGTTCCGGCCCCCTGACCATCCGCTCAAGAAGAACTTGGCCTGCGGCTGAATCTAGTTGATGATCCCTGGCCTAGGGCATGGGGATAGGAAGACTAGCTCTGGGGTAACCTAACTGAAGAGGAGAGCCCACAGTGGTCATAAAAATGTCCATCAATTGGTCTCATTCAGAGGATAAAGGCTCTTGATATTTTTAAAGACACACCATAACAAACATCGACAGTGTGCAATAGATCACCTGCTGTAGAATCGTCATAAGATAAAAAGAAAATGATGGCCAATGTTCTGTGGATAGAGGCGATAGGATGGCCACTTGATGCTTTTAACTGTTAGTCACCATGGTCTGTTTTTTCTTTTAGGCTAGTATTGGCCTCTGAACTGAACTCTAAATAACTCAACATCCCATTTGATATACCACTATAGCAAATCTGAGAATTTTTCAGTTCACCAAAACCATCCTATTTCAGGATATTATCCTGAATAACTCTGAGCTTTATTTAGGTTCCCAAGCAGATACTCCATGGGAGGCACTAGCGTCTACCAACAGAGTTGAGAGTCGTTTTAAATTGCTCCTGTAGTCTTATGTGTTTCTAATCACGCCTTCCCTCGTTCGATTTGACCACTCTGGCACCCGAATGCAGTGACTTATTTTCTGCTAATAGTAGTCGGCACCACATGGGGTACAGATATTAGCATATTATTATTAGCATATTATTGAGCTCTGAAAATATTCAATAGCAAAATTATCACCCAGAAAGAAAAAGCGCCCAACTCTCAAATAATTTCATTTGCAGGGGAAGTGCAGAGCAGTGCAGTTCTTCCTCTCCCTCGTTGGTGTTATTTCAGACAAAGGCTGATTCCTCCATTGAGATTAAATGTTGGTTTCTTCCTGTGACATTCTTTGAACCCCTGTGATTGTGACAACAACACATTTTCATTGTTGGTTTGAGGACAGTGTGGTGGCCCCTTCCTCTTTGAGTTCCATTTAATGATGTGCAGCACTGCACTCTTACAGTGAGGGAAAAAAGTATTTGATCCCCTGCTGATTTTGTACGTTTGCCCACTGACAAAGAAATAATCAGTCTATAATTTTAATGGTAGGTTTATTTTAACAGTGAGAGACAGAATAGCAACAAAAAAATCCAGAAAGACGCATGTAAAAAATGTTATGAATTGATTTGCATTTTAATGAGGGAAATAAGTATTTGACCCCTCTGCAAAACATGACTTAGTACTTGGTGACAAAACCCTTGTTGACAATCACAGAGGTCAGACGTTTCTTGTTGTTGGCCACCAGGTTTGCACACATCTCAGGAGGGATTTTGTCCCACTCCTCTTTGCAGATCTTCTCCAAGTCATTAAGGTTTCGAGCCTGACGTTTGGCAACTCGAACCTTCAGCTCCCTCCACGGATTTCCTATGGGATTAAGGTCTGGAGACTGGCTAGGCCACTCCAGGACCTTAATGTGGTTCTTCTTGAGCCACTCCTTTGTTGCCTTGGCCGTGTGTTTTGGGTCATTGTCATGCTGGAATACCCATCCACGACCCATTTTCAATGCCCTGGCTGAGGGAAGGAGGTTCTCACCCAAGATTTGACGGTACATGGCCCCGTCCCTTTGATGCGGTGAAGTTGTCCTGTCCCCTTAGCAGAAAAACACCCCCAAAGCATAATGTTTCCACCTCCATGTTTGACGGTGGGAATGGTGTTCTTGGGGTCATAGGCAGCATTCCTCCTCCTCCAAACACGGCGAGTTGAGTTGATGCCAAAGAGCTCAATTTTGGTCTCATCTGACCACAACACTTTCACCCAGTTCTCCTCTGAATCATTCAGATGTTCATTGGCAAACTTCAGACGGGCATGTATATGTGCTTTCTTGAGCAGGGGGACTTGGCGGGCGCAGCAGGATTTCAGTCCTTCACGGCGTAGTCTGTTACCAATTGTTTTCTTGGTGACTATGGTCCCAGCTGCCTTGAGATCATTGACAAGATCCTCCCGTGTAGTTCTGGGCTGATTCCTCACCGTTCTCATGATCATTGCAACTCCATGAGGTGAGATCTTGCATGGAGTCCCAGGCCGAGGGAGATTGATAGTTATCTTGTGTTTCTTCCATTTGCGAATAATCGCACCAACTGTTGTCACCCTCTCACCAAGCTGCTTGGCGATGGTCTTGTAGCCCATTCCAGCCTTGTGTAGGTCTATAATCTTGTCCCTGACATCCTTGGAGAGCTCTTTGGTCTTGGCCATGGTGGAGAGTTTGGAATCTGATTGATAGATTGCTTCTGTGGACAGGTGTATTTTATACAGGTAACAAGCTGAGATTAGGAGCACTCCCTTTAAGAGTGTGCTCCTAATCTCAGCTCGTTACCTGTATAAAAGACACCTGGGAGCCAGAAATCTTTCTGATTGAGAGGGGGTCAAATACTTATTTCCCTCATTAAAATGCAAATCAATTTATAACATTTTTGACATGCGTTTTTCGGGATTTCTTTGTTGTTATTCTGTCTCTCACTGTTCAAATAAACCTACAATTAAAATTATAGACTGATCATTTCTTTGTCAGTGGGCAAACGTACAAAATCAGCAGGGGATCAAATACTTTTTTCCCTCACTGTACATGTCTCCCTGGCTGAGTTTCATCATACAGCGCCGAGCAGAGAGAGCATGGATCAAAGTGTCATTTGAAATGCTATCATCAAACAGAGCTGGGGCTGCTGATAACTCCAGTTGTTGATAAGAAGAAGCTTTGTTTCTTACTGTCTGATCAGTGGCACATCAATAGGGACTGAGGGGAGTGGAGGGGAGAAGTGGAGAGGGTGGAGAACGCATTGACATGTACACATCTCACAGTCCTAAGAGGCTCTTTTGCTGTGTTTCAAATGACTGTGGAATCATCCTTCATCTCCATCCTCTGAAGAGGTTGGAGATTAATGGACGACGCGGAGCAGAGCCTACTCGCTTTCAAAACCTACAGAAATGCAAAGATTACAGTACATTGGTACAGTACATTACACTCACTGCATTTAACAAGACATGGCCGTGGCTTTAGAAAGTGCTTGTTTGTTTTTGTAGGAATGCAAATGGAGTCTATTTTTGGGTGTCACTTTGTTGATGTTTATGCTTTGGCACAGGGTGCAGGCATCTTCTATTATATAGATGGAGAGTTCGTTTTTTGTTGTTGACATTCATACATTGAGAAAGCAAGAATTTCCATTCTTGCCAATGCTTTGATTTGTGGCACTCTCTTTCCCTCTTATTCTGAGCTTTCATCTCATTCCATTAGTATTATTTTAACAAGGAGTGTCATTGAAACCAATGTCTCTTTTACAAGGGAACACTGCATGCAGGGCCGTGGCCATTCTGAGTTTTAGTGCGGTCCGGATGGGGCCTCATGAAAGTTGAAGCTCATTTACTGCATTTCTATAAAAGGTCTAAAATACTGTACAATTTGGAGAACAGAAAAAACAAGCAAAAATGACCCCAACCATTATCACTTTGGTTGCTGTAATAATTTTAAAATGTAAAATAATTAGTCACCCAATTCAATTTTTTTTGCCATGGGTCGGAAAGAGAAAACATTTCAGTTTTAAAGCTATTTTCCTGAAATTCTACATATTTTGCCATGACTTTTGCCAATGTAATATGATATCTGAGTGAAAGTGACTAACTAAATCTATGGGGGCCTGTCATGCCAAATAGTGTCCCCCGGCCAAATAGTGCCTCCCTCTGCGTCACAATGGGATTCGATGAGTTCTAGCTTCTGTTGCTAAGGCTGTTGCTAGAACTTGCAAAATTCTGACCGGATTACATAATTAAATAAAGCGTCTGTGGCTATGCTGGTTGCTTGGCTCTATTTTACCTCGTAGCGGTCGTGAAGGAAGGAGGATGCGGGCAGTTTCACCACATAAATGCTCGCTCAGTCCGCGCAAAATTATTACCTCAGAATTGCTCTCCAAGGACGGTGTTTTTGATGGTGACAACCTGCTGACTACCTGCTGCTTCAGAGGACCGAAAAGACAGGAAAGAGAACACTCTTTCTTTAACATATATTTGTCTTTATATAAGTAAATATTGTTAAATAGGAAGAAATAAGATTGATGTTGCTAGCTACTGTTACAGTAGCCAGCTAGCTAGCCAGACAGTATTATTTAGCTAATGTTAGCTAGCTAGCTAGCTACTGTAACTGTTATTGTAGCTTTCTGTTTGTATGTAGCTTGCACTTCAATGGCATCCCTCGAGGAGATTTTATTTTATCTTTCCAACCAGGCGAAGTATTGTGAAGACACCACTGATCTGGACAAGAGGTGCAACATTCAGAGAAGAGGTGGGAAGAGATCATATCTAGCTACGGGGGAAGGATGGCCAGCCACACGGGAGGGTGATTTTTACTAAGGAGGAGGAGGAGACCATGCTAACCGAGATACAACAGCAGCATCCAGGCCTCCACCAATTCCGGACGGGAGCCGCAGCTGTTGACTGAGGTAAACAATGCAATTGTATATACAATTATTGCATATACTGTAGTCTTTCAAATTTGTGATTGACTTAGTGTTGTTGTTTGTCTATTGCTATTTTTGTATATTGTACTTTCAGATCACTGAAACCCCACCTGATGTGGTGGAAGTTGTCGAACCAGATCAGAACGCCTTTGAGGACCACCTTCAGGCACAGACTTTGTTAAGCTTTGGTTGACATTTGAGAAAGCAAGAAATTGTAGTTATGCTGAGCTTATAAAAACGTACCTCTTCAATTTACCTCTCCAAATGACTTTAGGACCATCGACTGTCCGAGCCCCCCAGGAGGTATCCCATCCACCAGAACCAGTGAGTTCGGATCAGTCTGATTCTCTGTGCTCTGAGTCGGAGGGGGACCAGTTTGAGGTAGGCTATACCTTCCAAAAGTGATGAAAAGTACATATCTCCCATTTATAACACTGCACTAATCCATCAAATTTTCTCCAGGTAAAGTGTAACCTGTGTTTTTGCTTGTTTACGTCTCTGTCTCCTACCCTGTTCCCTTTAACTCTGCTCCTGTTCTCCAGGATCTAGGGGTTCTGCTCAACACCCAGACATGAATCCACCTGATGTCCTTCATTACCAACCACCCTCCAACTTTTCATTACATAATCTACAGCTACTGTTGTTGTCATGTTGTCATTATCTGCTAAGAAAGTTTTTTGGCTCTATCATACTGGGCACATAATATGTGAGATACACAGATTAACTAAAAACACTAGCACTGCAAACAAAGAGAGCAGCAGTGCCTGGACTTTGCAGTCTCGCTCTTCAAGTCCCCCTTCTGAGACTATTTGCCTGTTGAGAACCTCCCACCCACACAGCTACAACCTCCTCTATATTCCACACACCAGAATTCAGTATTTGAGTCTATGATTACCATGTGAGTGTTCAATAAATCTGTGAAAATAAATTAATGACACAACTGTACCAGAAACTATCAAAATTTATGTATTAAAATCTTAAATATTGCCAGGTTGGTTTTCACAGCTGTTTCACAAGATTGTAAGTTGTAAGGTATCCTTTGATGGTATTTATTTGTTCCACATTATTCATTGTTGTATCCTAGGACCTACAATAGATACATATATTCAACCACAAGGCTGTACTAATGAGCTATGCGAGATGGAAAAAAAAAATCATAATAGAGGACTACTGAAATTATATTATTTCAGTGTAGATAAGGGAAGGGCAGGTTAAAATAAAAACATGACAGCCAGACAAGCCAGATTTGCAGATGAATGGAGTGGACATGAGCTGTAAGGTAATTAACTTTAATGTGTCAAGCAGATTACACGTTTTCTTTACCATTCCCGAAACATAGCAACGTTTAAGACATGAATTTCGTGTAATGTTAACAAGGTACCCAAAAGTAGTTCAAATTAATGTTTTCATTTTATTAGGTAAACTAAACTTGTTTAAACAGCGAAATTGTTACGGAAATCAGCCTTATTTGCATAGCGATGATGAAAAGAACGTAATTTAGGCTGTAATGATCTCCAAAATTCTAATAATTAGGTCATCACACTGTTGATATAGCAACGGACGCTAATAGTTTATCGAATCCCATCATGACGCAGAGGGGGACACTATTTGGCTGGGGGACATTATTTGGCATGACAGGCCCCCTTGAGATTAAGGCCCAATAGGCTAATTGAGTGACTGTCAGTGAGTGACATACAGTATAACAAGAGGAAAACTGGTGATGCACGACCAAGTTTTGAAATTGCACCTTGTGTATTCTACTATTCTAACTCTCAACAGTAAGTTGAGACTCCAACTGAGTCCCCCCCCCCCTCCAACATTTGCTTCATTTGTTATTTTATTTTTACGTTTGAAAATATTACCTAGGTCAGGACCTTGGTTTCTTCATATGTAGCTACGGCAATGCCTGCATGTTGATGTTTGCTTGTGTGTAACTCTATTGAGGCTGCTTCAGTAGTGCCTGAAGGTGTCTGTCTGTCTTTCTGGAACAGGTAGAAAGTTGGTGACAAAGAATCATGACTGTTTCAGCATCCCACTTTGAAGTTTCATCGGCCATCTTCTGCTAATGCTTGAATCATCAATGACAGTAACAATGATATGTGAGCTCAGGTCTTGGTGTAGCAGTCAAAAACAGTTTGTGTGATGACAGTGTTATGTCAGTTTACATAAGCTGTGTAACTAGCTCTGTTAACAGGTCTTTCTTGAGAGTTCACCCTCGGACCAGATTTTAATTCTAGAATTCGAGGAATACGGAGGTGTGTTTGTGCCAGAGGGTGTTTTTCTTCAGCCTCATCAAGTTAAAACAACAGCATGGCCTCCCCCTCCTCTCTCCTCTACACATTTAAGCAGCATAACAAATGGCACCCTATTCCCTTCATAGTGCACTACATTTGACCAGAGCCCCATGGGCCCTGGTCAAAAGTAGTGCACTATATAGGGAATCCATCGCGATTTGGGCCTTATATTGCAGTGAGGGCCAGCCAGGCAGGCCTCCTCTGAGCGATTGACCCTGTGAATTCTAGATGATGTGGGCTGTGTGGGGGCTGTGGTGACCATGTTAGCCCAGCAGGTGTGTGTAAAGAGGGAGAGCCAGTACTGGGACTCTGGGGTGGAGGATGAGGTGCGTAATTAATGAGGGAGGGGAGAGAGAGAGGGATGGAGAGGAGGGAGGGAGGGAGGGAGGGGGGGGGGGGGGGTAGTATATAAACGCCTGCCTGCTTGCATGGCGTGACTGATGTGAGGAGAAATGTTTGGGTGGGTGAGAAGCCCCCTGGCCTGCCTAGACTCCCAGTGGAGCCTTATCAATGCACCTCTGGCCGCCTCCCTCCCCACCTCTCTCCCTACTCCCTCCCTCCTCCCCCCAGGCTGGACGGGAGGCTAAGTAGTGTGATGGAGGGAGCTCTCCGCCAAGCTTCATTACTCATCCACAGCCAATCTTGCGCTCCAGCTCTCAGTGGAGGGGAGAGAGGCGATGGTGGGAGGAGGAGGGATCACTAAGGGTCTTGGGCTGTAGTAAACGGGTGGGGGGCTGTACGAGAGGGAGGCAGAGCAGTGTAGGTTAGTGGTGTTTAGTGTTAATTTACCTTCTCCCTCATCAAGTGTAAACCAGACTATAAGCCTCAATACTAACTTCATAATGAGTGTGCTGTAGCTAATTTGCCTCGGTAGACTCTTTAGCATGCAGAGAGAGGTAGGTCTGGGTAATGCCACCCTCCTCTTGTGAATCAGAGTCAGATAGCGAGACGGAGGGAGAAATGAGAGGTAGACAGGAAGGGAGGGAGAGAGGGAGGGAGGGAGAAGGGTAGAGAGAGAGAGAGAGAGAGAGAGCGAGCGAGAGAGAAGGAGAGGGATGAATTGATTTGGCCAGATGCTGTGTTTTAGTATGTTTTCATTAAACCATATGAAGTATCCTGTAGGCTGTAGTATCATTGAGTTGATGAAGGAGGAGAGGGGTAGAGTGTTCTGTCATGGGTGACGGTGGCACAGTGGGGTCTAGGGGGCCTCTGGTATAGGGGAGCCCCAACCGCAGGAGTGTGGTTTGGTCTGACCTGGGCCTGTCAGTGTCAGCAACAGTGAGGCGATGGAGGGAATCGCTGGCCATAAATATTGTAGGAGATGTTGGTCGCTGCAGCTGTTTACTTAACAGAACACACTCTGCTCGAGGGATCCCCTGAAGAGGAGAGGATGCTGACAGCACCACCACCACCTCCCTGTCACTCACTCACTCACTCACTCACTCACTCACTCACTCACTCAGGGGGGTTGGTTGACTCTCTTTTTTCTCTCTCCCCTCTCTTCCCAACCTCACTATCCCTCTTCTCCTCCTCATTCATCACACTTCCATCATGTTGTCTCCTATCTGTCAACTTGGGTTGTGACATTCATTGTTATACATTTTTATCTCATTCAATTTCAAGCACTTTTCTAACAATTTCCACCGTTGGGCTTTTTATTATTTTTCTGGTCATAAGCCCATTCTTCCTCTAATAGCATCTTCTTTCAGGGTCCTGATAATGTCTCACAACACCGCTTGTATGTCACCTTAGCTTACCTGTGAGGGTAGATTGATGGCTTGTGTTACAGACCCTTTCCTTCGCATGTCAAATGCATGTGTCACGATCGTCGTAATGAGTGGACCAAGGCGCAGCGTGAAATGTGAACATCTTTTATTGAACGTACTCACACGAACAAAAACAACAAACCAAACGATACGTGAAGTCCTCGGTCATAAACACAAACCTACACGGAACAAGATCCCACAAATGACAAGTGCACAACAGGCTGCCTAAGTATGGTTCCCAATCAGAGACAACAAGACACAGCTGCCTCCGATTGGGAACCACCCCGGCCAACACAGAAATACACGATCTAAAAAAGAACACATAGAAAACAAAACATAGACACTACACATAGAAACTAACACCCTGGCTCAACATCTAAGAGTCCCCAGAGCCAGGGCGTGACAGTACCCCCCCCAAAGGCGCGGACTGCGACCGCGCCAACTAAACCCAACAGGGGAGGGGCCGGGTGGGCATTCCGCCTCGGAGGCGTATCCGGCTCCGAGCGTGACCACCACTCTCTAACTACCCCCCCGTAGCGATCCTGGTCTGGTCCCGCTGGCTGGAGCTGGACTGGACATTGGTGGAGTGGATTGCTTAGGCACCGGTGAAACAGGCACGGGCTGTGCCGGACTGACGACGCGCACCACTGGCTTGGTGCGGGGAGCAGGAACAGGCCGGGCCGGGCTGGCGACGCGCACCACAGGCTTGGTGCGAGGGACAGGAACAGGCCGGACCGGGCTGGCGACGCGCACCACTGGCTTGGAGCGAGGGGCAGGAACAGGCCGGGCCGGGCTGGTGACGCGCACCACAGGCTTGGTGCGAGGGGCAAGAACAGGCCGGGCCGGGCTGGCGACGCGCACCACAGGCTTGGTGCGAGGGGCAGGAACAGGCCGGGCCGGGCTGGCGACGCGCACCACAGGCTTGGTGCGAGGGGCAGGAACAGGCCGGGCCGGACTGGGAACACGCACCACTAACTTAGTGCGGGGAGCAGGAACAGGTTGGGCCGTACTGGGAACACACACCACTGGCCTTGTGCGGGAATCAGGAACGGGCCGGACCGGACTGGTGACACACACCACTTGCTTGGTGCGAGGAGCGGGACTGGGTTTCCTCATAAACCTCCGCTCCCTCTGCTGCCTACTCAGTTCCTCTCGCCGTGCCTCCACATTCTCCTTCTCCCTCCTGACCAATGGCCCCCGTAACCTGGTGGCCTCCTCTCCTAGTCCACAAACTCGCCCTGTAGCTGCCTCCAGCAGCCCCGTCGTCCATGCCGTGTGCCCCCCCAAAAAATTTATTGGGGTTGCCTCTCGCCTGTCCGACGACGACACTGTTGGCGCCGTACCTCCTCTCTCGCCAGGGCTTTAACTTTAGCCCATGGCCCTTTGCCCGCGAACATTTCCTCCCAGGACCACCATTGGCCCACCTGGGCCATCGCCAACCTCTCCAGCTCCTTACCCGGCGTTTGCTCCTGCACACGCTGCTTGGTCCTTGTATGGTGGGATCTTCTGTCACGATCGTCGTAATGAGTGGACCAAGGCGCAGCGTGAAATGCGTACATCTTTTATTGAACGTACTCACACGAACAAAAACAACAAACCAAACGATACGTGAAGTCCTCGGTCATAAACACAAACCTACACGGAACAAGATCCCACAAATGACAAGTGCACAACAGGCTGCCTAAGTATGGGTCCCAATCAGAGACAACAAGACACAGCTGCCTCCGATTGGGAACCACCCCGGCCAACACAGAAATACACGATCTAGAAAAGAACACATAGAAAACAAAACATAGACACTACACATAGAAACTAACACCCTGGCTCAACATCTAAGAGTCCCCAGAGCCAGGGCGTGACAGCATGATTGTGTTTGCTGTCCACTCTCCCCCCTCCACCTTCCCCGACCACCCTACTTGACCCCCTCACTCTCTGCCTCACTGTGTGTTAAAGACCGTGTTACACTGCCAGTAGCACGCGCTCCTCCTATGTATCATTTCACTATGAACTTTTCTCCTTCTCCCTCATTCATTATACTTCCATCATGTTGTCTCCTATGTCTTTTTTTGTCACATTTCTTGCTGTCGTGTTATTCTGCGCTGTTATGACGTGGCTCACGCTATAGCTCTCCACCACAAGCAGGTTAACGTTTATTGTCATGAGTCTTGTCCTGCCTGCAGAATTGAGCGATTTCCCCTTAGATAGACCAGCTGCAAAGTGGGTTAGGCATTATGGTTAGCAGTGTGGTTAAGGTTAGGTTTCAAATCAGATTTTATGACTATGTAGCTGTGCCAGCTAGTGACCACTCTGCAGAGCTACCTCCAGAACAAGATTCATGACGAAAAACGCTTACCTGCCTGCCGAAAGAGAGGGAGAGAGAGAGAGAGAGAGAAATCACCCCCAAAGCAAAGGAGTAAATAATTTAACATTCAAGAAAAGGAAGAGAATTTAAATGGCCTCCTTCCACTCGATTCAGCCACTCCTGGGTGCTCTCTTTCTCTCTCTCAGACTCTCTTCTTTCCATCCCCTGGCTTTATCCTTTCCCTTGTTGAGATGTACTTGTCACAGGTGTGAAAAAGGAGCTCTTATTCCTTGCATAGAGAAGTAGATTCTGAGGTTGGCCGTCCTGCTTTGAACTTGGTTCTACCCCTCCTCTCATCACCATGGACTCTCTGTCCAACTGATGTGTTTTCCTGACACTGCTGGGCCTTGAGGTTGCTGTTAATGATTGGTGGATATGCCTTTCGATATGTTTGAATGGACTGCATGCCTTTGATGGTCACGTTCATATGTCAGGGGTGTGAGAATACAGTTATGTGTGTGTGTGTTGTATGCTCATTAATGAGAGAACAAGGAGAGGCTTAGTCTCTCTGTGTCATGGTGATTCCCTCCTTCCTAAAGTAAGGCTAATTTTACCACTTTATCCTCTGCTATTATTTCCCTGTTTTCCTATGTCGTGTCCTCACTCTCTCTCTCGCTTACTGCTGACAAGCTATCTGTTGGCTAATTGGACATTGTCTGTAGAACAAAACGACAGCCAAATATGCCAGGGAAAGTTCAATATACACTGTAGACTGCAGAGGTGTGTGAATGACTTGGGGCAGGTTGAGAAAAACAAAGAGTATTCAGGCGTTGATTGGTGGTACACACACACATCAGCCCCCCGCCTCATTGCACACACACAGGAGACACACTATTCACACATTTCCAGCAATTTAGTCAAAGGTAAAAAAGTAAAGGCAGTGCAATACAAAATCTAAATTGGCCTCTGAGGGCTGTGTGTGTGTTTGTTGTATCAGCGATACACAGGCGGTGGGCGCAGAGGTGCTGCTGCTCCCATGTTTAGTGTGTGTGCAGTGTGTCTGTCACGTGGTGACCATTGAAGGCTTCTTCTCCACTCCCTAGCTGTGTGTTAATGACGGTAGATGAAATATTCAACTGTGTGTGTGTAGCGTCTCTCTGTTATTCTGCCCAGCTCCAGACACACAGTTGAACATTTCATCTACCGTCATTAACACACAGCTAGGGAGTGGAGAAGAAGCCTTTATAGGGACAGACACACACACACTCCCAACAGCATGCTGTGACATTTCCTGGACTGTTTTCCACAACACACACGTTTGATGTCTGCCAAAAAAATGCAGCCTTTGATAATTTTTTGTATTTACATTTTCTCGATTAGATGAGTTTATTAGTCACATGCACAGGATCACAACGTTGTCGGGTAGGGTAGGAAGTTGCTAGTCTAAATCCCAGGTGAGATATAATGCTATTCTGTCCTCGAGCAAAGCACTTAACCTGAATTGCTTCAGCGACTACCCAGTT